CCCCCCCCGGCCCTTAAGCAAATATTTATAATGAATGTTTCATTGTTTTTTGTGCTTTTTAGGGAGCAGTGATGTACAAGCTGTGTATCACACTAGTATCTCTCATTTTATTCTTGACACTTACCAAGAACTTTCCTATGGCATATATCATTGATAATGAATTCCTTGATAAAACACCCTTCTTGTCAAGACTTGGTTACCTGTATGTTGTAACACAGGCAGCAAAACCAAAGTATTACTTTGCATGGACATTAGGTAAGTCTTGCCACATCACTTATTTTTTAGCTAACAAATGACTTCAAAATAGGGCAGGGGGTCTGAAACATTGTGGGGAAACAAATAAATGAGTCCCCAAACCTGTAGTTCCCATGGGAAATGTACACTTGTTCCTTTAGGCAATGGACCCCATTGGAGCAGGGAAATGTCAAAAGTTTTGAGAACAGTTAATAAAATATCCTCTAGCTTGTCTGTCATCTCTGGCCTCTAGAACCAAATCGGCTTTTCAGCTTCTTGCCAGTAAAGTCAATGTAACAATTTCCTCTTACTTAAAACTTTGTACTTCTACCAAAATAGTTTTTACAGAAATTCTTAGGAAAGGTTTAGAGGAGACAAACTTTTTTTTATTTTTATGCTTATTCATAATGTGCCACTTCTGTCAATGGGTTTGGGAGGTTAAAATAGGTCACACTGGCCTAGGCTTGACAAGTATGTTATAATGTGAACTGACCTCTCTCTTCCCAATGGACATCTTTAGCACATGCATCTGGATTAGAAAACTGCAGTGCTTGCTGGGGGGCTGAAGTTAGGCTTTGCCTCTAAGGCACTGTGTGATGAGAGCAGTTAAGAGAAAGGACTGGGGAACCATGGGGAAGGTGGGAAACAAAGAAGGTGGTGGGAAAGACCCAAGAACCCTCTGCAAGGAAAAGGAGGAAGAGAGATCATTATGACGAGAAGAAGATTGATTTTATTGGAAGCCAGCTAGACTAGTGGTCAAAATAATCCTTTTGTATTTCATCTTTTTCCCTTTAGAAGTCACATTTCCCATCTATGTGTGAGGAGTTAAAACCTTTTAGGCCAGGCTGAAAACTGACTTACTTATTTTTTTTTCCTGGTATGACAAGAGTTTGTGTATAGGGCTGATCCTGGAAGCCCAGCCAGCAAAGAACATACCTGAAATAGAAGAAATCATTGAGACAGGATGGAAAGAGCCAGGGAAACTCATTGTGAGGCTGTGATTAAACTGCTGCCAAGAAAGCTGACAGATCAAGGGGAGTCTGCTAGGACTAGCATGCGTGAGATGGGAAGGACTTTGGGATAAAGAGTCGCTTGCTGAGAAACTTATTTTTGTGGGATCTGATGTGAAATTGTCGTCTCAATTTTTTTCCAGTATTATAGTTAACTAAAAGTCCATTATTGAAGGGATAAACTGAACTTGGGTTTGTGATGGCTGGAAAAATATCTTACAAATTAGAGGTTTCGGGAAATGCACGCATTGCATATTGGAGGGTGAGGTCTCTGTTCCTCACATTGCAGCAGCAGGCAGCAGAACAGCAGACACTTCATCCTTCTGCAGTTTAACTCCTGGTGGCATGACCCCAGGCATTGTCAAAGTGCCTGCTGAAAACCAGCTGATGAGCTCTTCCTGCCTTCAGAAAAGGACAGTCATGCTATTGTGCAAGAGCCAGGGCTGCTGAATTCTTCCAAATCCATGGAAAGCGGAAAAGGCGGCTTCTCGCTGCATTAGCAACAGTCATAGGAACGTGGTGGCAAACCTAACCCAGAGCTGTCAGTGAGAAACCAGTTTGGGACCCAAGGAGCTGTGAAGGCGTTATGCCAGGGCTGTGCCAGTCAGCAGGGAAACTTCCGCTGGCTCTGTGAGCCCGGGGCTTTGTGAGGACTTTGAGGGTGGGCATTTGCAATTCTTCCCTGCTTCACGCCTTGCACTGCAGGCAGCAGCTCAGGAAACCAGAGGCTGATGGGTCTGCTGTGTTGCTGTGTCCCTGGATTTCTGATTTCTTGCTTTTGGCAAAGAAACATTAAGCAGTCTCTGCCACCCTTAGAGCAAGAAGGAGTAAATCCAGAATTTCCCCTGCTCTAGGTGACAGTTACATGTAACTCCAGCCTCTGAGATTGGGCAGAGTCCTATACAGGCCAATTCCAGGCAGAATTGTTTTTTGTTGTGGTGCTTCTGTGCTTGTTTGTTTAAACAGGGAGATAATGAAAAACTTTCATCAGTAAAATCTAGCTTATTTGGTAAAGCAGGTAATAAAAATTAAAGGTTCAGATTAAAGGAGGTTGCTCTTTATTTATAGTTAGTCTTGTTACTTTTAATTAGGTTTTCCCCATGTTGTGGTTTAGGGCTTCTCCATGTACATACAGAATTTACAAAGCAAAATCAATTTTCCTTCTTGGGAAGGAAATGCTGAGCTTTTAAAAGCATAGGTTAACCAAGCTTGTATTTTGTAAATGATCGATAAGGAAGAACCTTACCTATATTTTTGTTTTCTTTTTTTCTTCCAATAATCCTCAGTGTTGGCTGTACCTGGTGATCCTCAGATAAGGAATCCTGTTTTCTTAGTACACTGAGAGGTTTTTTGGCAGGAGCATGTTAAAAGCAGAATCTTGAGAAGCAGTGATGGAGGTGGCTCCCAGGCAAGGCTGAGAGGGGAGGTAGCTGGCTGGCACCCTGGGAAAGAGCAAGACTGAAGCATCTTTGTTACCCTGACTTTTATTTGCACTTAAGTCATTAAGTCTGTAATAGAAGTTAATCCATATTTGATTTGTAGAGGTGGTGAAGCACTGAGTAATAGGCTTAACAAAAGGTTTTGTCTGTGGAAGACTATGAAAGTCTTAAAACAACCATGCTGGAATTCTTAATAGGAATGGTAAACATGTCTTTGAGACACTACAGTTCTTCTGAATTCTAGAAAATACTGTGACATAAAGGTACAGTTTTGAGGAAGATGCTAATTCATTTTATGGCAACTCTTGTGTATCTATCTCAGATGGATAATTAAGGCACAATAGTTGGAAAAGTTATTTCTATCAAGTTTTGGTTCATTTTTATTTTATTTCTTCTGCTGAGGGAGTAGCTAGTCTTTTCTCTTGGTGAAATGGCTCTTGTGTTGTCTTACAGCAGTGCGTCTTTGCTATAAGGAAGCTGCTCTTTGAAAAAGAGAGAATGCTGATTGCTACAAAGTTGGCTCGATTGTGTGTTTGGTGCCACACTGACTTGTAAGAAAATGGCTCCTTGAGCAGTCTGATTTGACCTCTTTTGCTTTGGCATTGCAGCAGATGCAGTCAACAATGCAGCTGGTTATGGCTTCAGCGGAGTTGATGAGAGGGGCAACTTCCGCTGGGATCTGTTGTCCAATTTAAATATCTGGAACATTGAGGTGAGTTAAAGGAGTGGCTGCATTGGCATAATTATAGAGAAATGGGCATGATAACGGGGAGAAGCTTTACTGGAAGGAAAACAAGTCTGTTCCACCAGGCTGCCCCTCTTTAACATGGAGAGCTTTTGTATTTTATCTTTCAGGCAGATAAAAATCATCTGTCATGCAGCCTTCCTCACGCTCTGTATTCAGGTTGCGTTTCTAAATAGTTTATAGAAGGCTACTAAATGATTAATCAGATGTTTAATAAATGAGCAGTCAATTACTGTTGATTGTGGGTGAGTTCAGTGGGTCAATAGATTTCCTCACAGCTATGCTTCTCCACCATCTGTGGTGTATTTTGTTTATTTACTTCTCACAGTCTTCCATTTTTTGTAACCCAGTTGAGATGGGAGATGGCAGTGAAAGAGGCTGCTACGTGTAGGCATTGCATTGCACAGGCACTTGCAAGGACTGGGTCCCTGCGCATGCCTGGAGTGTCTCTTGTAAATGGAGAGAAGCTTGGGTCAGAGAGATAACACATACAAACTGAGCAGCCTGAATGGGAGCTGGCAAGAGCCACATGGAGCTTAGATGGCTGCTGATCTACAGTTCCATCCAGCAGACTACAGTGTTTCTCATGTTTCTTGTGACTGCAGTATACTTTTAAATTCCATTAGTCTTTGTAAGCTATTTATGTTTGTTTCTCTAATGCAAAAGATGGCCAATGTAATTTGTTTGCCACAAAGAATATTTTGTGAATGCCACTGGGATATGGAAATGTTTGTGTTTGAGACTACTTTCTAAAGACTTGTTTTCTTTAGAAATAGGAGGAGCTGCCCTCTGTAATTCTCTAGTTAGGATTTTAAGAGGAAAAAGAGATTAAAATAGGTTGATTGTTTCATTGCTGAATGATCTATGAGTGAATGTGCTTTAATAGTTCTTCTCAAATATGAAAAAGCCCCTGAAATACTTAATTGGAAGATGCCCAAACTGAAAGTATCATTATATATTCTCTCTTTCGCAATATCCTTTCTCTGTCTTTTATTTTAGGTTAATTAATCCTCAGTGTCTATCTGTCCTTGAGCAGCACAGAATATGCAACCCAAAAATGCTTTATCCTCCTCAGTGTTGGCAACACCTTAGATAGCACTCTGAGATTGTGAATTGGTATCTGATTCAGTTTTGGGGCAGGATATGATTCCTAACTGATGGGCCAAGGAAGTTTCTCCTTGAAGGAGGAAAGTGAAGTGCAAGAAATGTTCTTTAGTCAGAGCCTTTGCTCCTCTCTACCCACTGAACTGTAGGCTCCTCAAAACTTTCTCCTTTTACTGGTTACACAGGCAATATACATCAGGGTGGAGAAATTATTTCCAGGTTCATAAAAAAAGTGCTCTTCATTTATTTGATAAAGTGTGTAATAAGGAAAAGAGAAGCTACAAACACCATTACTTTAGGATAAGCCTTGAGCTGTCACTCTATGCACCAACAAGAATTTCAGGACTTGAAGTTCAAGTGTGATTGTACCGTACATTTTCAGCAGGTGTAGCCATCTGCATATGTAAAATTGTTTAAGAACTGGGAACCTGAGTGCTAATGTGGCTAAGAAATGGCCTGATCTGTAGTAAAGGTAACCAATGTGTTAGGAGTTGAGGGCATTAAAATGTGACAGGGGCTTAAACACATGGGGGGGACTTGAAAGCCTTGGCAGTACACATATTTTGACAGCTAGGGACTGTTTTCTTTCTTGGTAATGTGACAGGGGAACTTAAGGCCAAAAGAGAGTGACAATATTAGTTGGAAAGATAAATTATATTTTTCTTGGCTTCTCTTTGCACAGTGATGCAATTAAAATGTGGCAGTACTGCATGGGGAATTGCTAATCGTTTTAACTCTTTAAACACAGAGGATGAAGTGCTAGCCTTCAGGATTCTCCATGGAAGTCATATTGCCCTTGGACACCCTTGCTTTTAATCTCTCTTTTCAGTGTGGCCCCTTCCTTCAGCTGATACAGGAAAATAGTGTGGTGTCACCAATTAATGTCCCTGCTTGGTGAGGAGGTCCTCAGAGGTTTCTTTTGGGAGGCGAGGAGCAAGACAGGGTGGGGATGGGGAACCACTAGAGGGGAAGTTAGCCAGGATAAGGGGAACCAGTGCTGGATGGCATCTGTCAGTCCCCTAAAACTGGGGGAACTGGTGCAGTGAGGAGGGTGCAGGTGGTTCTTCCAGCAGCCTGGAGTCAACTCTGGTTACTCAAGCAGCACCTTAGGGGGAGAATTGGTTTCCAAATTTAGTCCTAACATTTTCTGTCAGTGTTTCTCAGTGTTCCCTGTTCCTTCTCCAAATAATAATGCGTTTCTTTTAGCTTCTGTAAAGCTTTG